TAGATGTAATGATAACCTACACCAGCACACCGTCCGATGATACCTCGTCGTACATTCTTTGAGTACAAAGTTGCCGTTTATTCTACTTATTCATCTCTTGCGTGTCTGTCTGTGTCAATAATACATTGCGTTGATACAAGCGAGGAGAAGAGGAAAAAAAGTCCGTCATTTTTCTTCCAGCGAAATGGTTGGGGATACCACTTGAGATGTGAGGTTCATAGAGCAGGAGTTGGTCGATGAATTCGGGGGTCTATGGCTATGGTGATGTTGGGTTTAATTGCAGTGTATAGGTAGATGGGTTTGGGTGTGATATATGCTGTTTGGGGGGTGGGATGCTGGTGATGCTGGTGTGTCTGTAGTGATATGGTGGGTTTAGACAAGGGGAGAGAGATTGGGGATGTGTTTGATTTTTGAGGCTTAAGAGGCGTATGGATGTATGGTACATTGCGTGAATGAGTGGGAGGATTGTGTCGGTCTTTGGAGGGTTGGTGAGTGGGTAGAGGAGAGTTGGTGTGTTGTGAAGAATGTATGATCGATGTTGTGAACACAGATCAGTGCTTTTGGCTCATGGATTTTCATTTTGGGCATCTACCTATGTTTGCGGGTCCAATGTGCATAAATATGAGAATCATGACAGTCAGAGATGAATGTGATTCTGCGGGTACCCGTATCAAATACCGTACGGGGTGGAGATTATTATTTCGTGGTATCATTCATCGTGTCCAAACAATTTATGTACAATCAAACAATTCTTCACGCTATCGAGTAACCTTGAACCTCTCACGTTCAGCACGCTCCGAATCGTCCATAACTCCAGCGTTACCACTTGGCCGAGACGGATCGTCCTTGACCGGCACGCAGTTGAGGAACGGATACCTCGCCGAGACGTTCGATCCCCACGTCCAGTTCGACACCTGTCGGATGTGCTGCTCGAACTGCGGGTTGAGTCCTAGCTCTGATTTCGATCTTGCGGTGAAGATGGACGCCGGGTCGTCGTGCGGCCAGTTGACGGACAGGGATGCGTTGGAGAGTTCGCGGAGGTCGTAGAACTCCGTCCAGTCCATTGTTGTGATGATGCTTTGTCGGGCTTCTGGCCTGCTTGTTGAGTTAGCGATATTGACAATAGGACGCGGAGGTGAGACGGGAGACATACCACACCATCACGTCGATCCACACCGGGTGTGGGATTGTCAGTTGCGATTCCACTGGCCGCAGAAACTCGGGTATCGCTTCGTAGTTCTGCTTGTTGGGCGATATTAACCACCGCAAGTACGTGCAGATGAGGTACATGGCAGCGACCTTCTCTGTGATCCTCGGCAGCCGCATGGTTATCCGTCCATGCTGGCCGATAGCGTTGGAGATGGAGTTGTTGGTGCTCTCCTGCTCGGGGTTGAGCAGCGACTTGATGCTGGGGAACGATGGTCCTGTGAGCTCGGGGATCGGTCCGGTGTGTTGCTCCCGCTGCCGGGTCGTTCGTATTAGGTCTAGGATAACTTCGTCCAGTCGACATGTTGCGTTGACGTGTAGAGGTAGTCTTTCCCATATTGGTCGTGTTGGAGAGTTGGCGTCTGTGATCTGTATGTCGGCCGTTTGTGATACCCAGGTGCTCGCGTCGCCCTCGGGTGGGAATGGATCCAGAGACAATGAGAACCCGCTCATTGAAGACGGATCGCTTGCTAGGTTATGTTAATCGTCGCTCTCGTAAATATAGCTTCATCATTCCACTTACGAAAGCCACCCGGCCAGAAGTTGAAGGGCGACTCGCCGCCGGTTGAGAACGGTAGGTCTATTGTGAATCCAGTGCCTTCATGTGTGATGTTGAAGCCAGTCACGTTCCCATCCGATGATGCCCCTGCGGAGGAAACACTGGCTAGGTGTGATGCATCCTGTCCGGGCTCTGCGCACGGCGAAGACACATTCACGATTGGCGAATGGTCGCCATTTGCCGAGGGTGCTGCAGTCGTTGACGGGGCAGGCGTCGGTATACCCGCCGGCAGAGCTGATGCTGCATCTATCAGGCGTAGCGATGTACGAGCAGAGTCGATCGCCTGCCGCAGAGAGACCTCACTGCATTCCAGCTGTTTGACTCTTTCTTCCGACTGGGCGAGTCGTTTCTTGAGATCCCCAACCTCTTCTTCAAGTTCTTGAATGCGGCTCTTCTTTCGAGCTCTAGTCTTCGTCAGCCTGGTGCACAATACATCACACGACTGCTGGCCCTGGGCAGGAGAAAAACAAACCTCGAAGCTCTCTGGTTCACACGGTCGAGTGCTCGTTTCCGGTAGAGTTGCTCTGTGGTCAAATTGGCAACGGACCGCTCCATCGTGACAGTGCAGCAAGTAAAACTGGAGATGCAGGGCGCGCGGCGGGCGCTCTGCATGCTTTGAAGGGGAGCCGTTGGAGATCCATGAGGGGCGGGAATGTCTGGCGTGTTCGGGGAGGGAGATGGCGTAGTTGGTGGATGGCTCAAGAATGGCAAGGATGGGTCAGGATGGTCGGGATGGGAGGGCGAGAGATGAAGTCGTTTTCAGGGTAGTTCATCACGCCAATCTACTCTGATAGGGCGCATCTACGTGACGCTGCATTCGTGCTAAACCACTTCAAGACGCGGATGAAGCGCCAAGCATCACGAAATACTTCATCCGATTCACATCATTCGTGTCCGACTCCAGTCCAGATTAGGTATAGTCAGCAACTCCAGACCTGCAAATCTGACTCTCTCGTGGAATTCTAACGACATGTGGAGATATATACCGATATTTCTTCGATCATCCTGTCGGTTAGCTGATTTTTCAGTCTGCATGAGTGGTTTTTTGAATTGTTCTAGAGACATGCAAGTTGATCACAGGCCGGAACTGCCGGACTGACTTGATCTGCTTTTCTTTATTAACTATCATGTTTCCCAATTTTGAGACTTGCATTCCAAAGCCAATTCACAAGTCAATGCTTGAGAGCGACATTCGGTGAGCTTGTGTGTAACTCAGAATGTTCGTTACATCTGTTTGTACCACCCTGCTGCTCCTCGCTTTGGGGGCAACAGCAAAGAAGCCCAATATCCTCTTCATCTTAACCGACGATCAAGATTGGCACATGCAATCACTGGTAAGCCGAATTGAATACTCAAAGAAAGCATTAGTTACTCATATTTCATCCAGGAACATATGCCATTTCTGCAGAAGTACCTGGTCCAAGAAGGCACATTGTACACAAACCACTACTGCACAGTAGCCATATGCTGCCCCTCAAGAGTAAACCTCTGGACCGGCCGAGCAGCACATAATACCAATGTGACCGACGTATTCCCTCCATATGGTAAGTTCTATAGTTTCGAATCAAATCTATCTCAGTTTCTGATTAGAAGTAGGCGGTTATCCAAAGATTGTTCATGAAGGAATCAACTCAAATTACTTGCCGATATGGATGCAAGATTCGGGATATAACACCTACTACACTGGCAAGCTCTGGAACGCCCATACTGTTGACAATTACAATGCCCCGTACGCTGGCGGATACAATGGATCCGACTTCATCCTTGATCCCTACACGTATGAGTACTACAATGCCTGGATGTCGCGCAACGGACAGGCACCCGTCAGCTACAAAGGCCAATACTCCCCCGACATCACCGCCGAGAAAGCTTATGGCTTCCTTGAAGAAGCTACCCAGCACAAAGAGCCATGGTTCCTTACAGTGGCTCCAATTGCTCCCCACAGCAACGTCAAGCTCGAGCCGATTGACGCGGTCGATATGGATGCGCCAAAGTATGCTAAACGGCATGCTCATTTGTTCAAGGACTACCGTATTCCTCGCGACGCGAACTTCAACCCCGAAAAGGTAGGCTCCTTGAATCTAATTAATTGATAACCCGGGAAGTTGATGAGAACTAGCAAGGTGGAGTTGCCTGGGTGAAAACCTTGCCACGCTTGAACGACACAGTCATCGAATACAACGATGAATTCCAGCGATCGCGCCTTCGGGCTCTCCAGTCAGTCGACGAGATGATTGAGAAATTGATCAAGACGCTCGAAGAGAAGAACCTGCTGGAGGATACGTATATCTTCTTCACAACTGATAATGGTTACCACATCAGTCAGCATCGTATGCATCCTGGCAAAGAATGCGGGTTCGACACCGATATTCACATCCCACTGATCATCCGAGGCCCTGGAATTGCCAGAAACCGAATCAGCGATGCTGTTACAAGCCACACTGAGTAAGACTACTCCATTCAAGTCGCAGCCTTCGATCACTAACTCCTACAAAGCCTATCCCCAACCATCCTGAAGCTCGCCGGCCAAACCCGGGAAGATTTCGACGGCACCCCCATTCCTGTATACGAACAAGAAGTCCTAGCCGCCAACAACAACCGAAACAGTCGCCACGAGCACGTCAACATCGAATTCTGGGGCATGGCGATTCCAGAAGGCCAATACGCCCACTACGACGGCGGGCCATCAGACGGCAATGGTCTTTACAAAGACGCCACGCGGAACAACACTTACAAGGGCCTTCGACTTATCGGAGAGGACTACAGTATCTACTATTCCGTCTGGTGCACCGGTGATCGAGAGTACTATGATGTCGCGCTCGACCCGGGACAGCTCGATAATTACTTCGATGCTGAAGCCGAAGCGACACGGCGTGGGTACTCGATCGCTGGTCGGTCGTTTGAGGAGGTGGTTAATAGGCTTGATGCGCTGATGTTGGTGCTCAAGTCTTGCAAGGGTAGGGATTGCGTCGAACCGTGGAGTGTGTTGCATCCTGGAGGTAATGTCAAGACGCTGAAGGATGCTTTGGCGAAGACTTTTGATGCTTTCTACGAGGAGCAGCCAAAGGTGTCGTTTGACTCGTGCGAATTGGGGTATATTAAGGAACTGGAAGGTCCACAGATACCAAATGTTTATGACGATGGTGAAGAGAGATTGGAATTGCGAGGGCAGCCGAGTTTCAAGTACCAAGGGCACTGGTCACTGTTTACATGAGTCTTGATGGCTCTGAACCCGCCTGGAGGGTTAACATTCCGCGAAAAACTGGTTATCCTATTCACGTCAATTCTAGAGAGGAAAAAATGCATCTAGGATCTTCAGATGAAATGTTGGATGATTTATGATCATGTTACAGCAGCATTCTGAGAACAGACATCGAGTTACTCGCTTGAATCTTCAATAGAAGAATATCTACGAAGTAAAAAGATGTACACGACTTTGCGATGAGTAATAATTAAGTGTCTATGAATACCTTCATTACATTTCTTCACACACCTAGCGACCGGTCTCACATTCAAACCCTAAAGGCACAAGAGAGGCGCAGTCAATATCGAGATCACTAATAGCCGGTATCTCTGATTCGTTCTGACAACCTATCATCTCTCTTGATGTCCCGTTGCTGACACCGAAGGATTGTACTCTATTTTCTTCGCACGATATAGGTAAACAGAAACTCAGTCGCACCTGCTCACGTTCGCCGCATTAAGGCACAAGTACTACGCCCCACACGATTGTTCAACTATACACCCGAAATTGAATTCCTGTAATACAAGTAGCATAGAGACCCCGATTGTAGATAGGCTTTCTATCTTCCTTGTTCTCTTGTTGCGTAGAACTGCTGCTCAACCGCACGGTCGGATACTCCCATCTTCAACATGCATCCTCTGATCCACCTCCTCATAGAAATTGCTACAACCTGCGGTGTAGTCGGCTTTACGGAACCGAAGTCTTTCGCGAGGAAAGCAGGTCTTGCAGTGGTAGTCTGGTGTGTTTGGCGATGTATTCCGCAGTGCATGTCTGCAATGGTACGAACGCCTTGGGCAGCACTCCTCGGTGGTTATGCTGCCACGTACCTCTATCATTATCTCGATGTGGCGCTTATAAGCCAGTAGGATTTCGAACAAGCAGCACCCGTCGGAATGTTCGCGAGGGCTCCCAGTGGGCAAACCCGTGCTAAAGATGATAATGAAAACAATTCGATATGGAAACGACTATCGTTTGGGGTTAAAGTTACCAGCTCTTTTAGATTCATCGGCACGCCCTACCAAGTTAAGAATGTTCCTCCAGCGATCACAACGGAACGGCGACATTTTCTCCTCCGGACATCACTTGTTATCATAGCTTCTTACATCATTATTGACGCCATCAGCTCTAGCAACGACCCAGACATCGCGTCCAAGTATCTCATGCCTGAAAACATCAAGATACTAGCTCGATTGAACGAGGTCACCATGGAGGAGTTGATTATACGCGCATGCACTACCATAGCGAGCTGCATTGGTCTCAATTGCGTACAAGGGGGAATTTATCATTTATTTGCGCTTGTAGCTGTTAGCTTGCGCATTTCCCTTCCGGAAGATTGGCCACCGTTCTATGGATCTATATCTCAAGCGTGGACGATACGAAGGTTTTGGAAGTTCGTCTACCAGCTGTCCCTATGTTATGATGATGCAGAGCGCTGACGGAATTATAGCAAGTTCTGGCACCAGATGAACGCTAGGAAGTATGCCTCGCTATCTCACTTCGTCGTCTACAAGGTGCTCAACCTACAACGCGGCAGCAAATCTGCAAGAATCCTACTCGTGCTCACTGCGTTCCTGACATCGGGCTTCATGCATCTGCTAATAGACATCTCGGCGGGAATCCCTGTTCAGAGATCTGGAGCCATCAATTTCTTCAGCGCACAGGCGCTGGGCATTCTGTTCGAGGATGCGATCATAACAGTGTACGGCGCATCGAGCAAGAGGATTCCGCGGTTCTTGGAATTGGCCATCGGGCTTATCTGGACGTTTGCGTTTCTCGTTTGGTCTACTCCGGCGTACGTGTATCCAATGTTCTGGCGCACCAATCTGGGGCTTAACGACTCGACTATTCCGCTCAGCATTTTTGGATCGAAGGACGAGCGCATGGCGGCATTGGGGTGTATGATGCTCATCTGCTCGATTGCTATGGTAGGAAGTCTTTGATTATAGTCTCGAGCACACGTAAAATCAGGAGCTGAGAAGGGAATTAGACCGAGAATCGGTGCCGCACCGCGGGAATGGAATTGAAGGGATTGTTGGCCTTAATGCTTGATCCATTTCTTCTATTCAAATGATTCGCGTAGCATTTAGTACAATTCTAACCCCTACGTGCTTTACGTGAATGTTTCAATAAGTTCAGCTCTGTGAGCGGAGGCATCAATCTATTCTTTCCATGAGCAAAGTTAATGTGCTTTCCTGAGGATCATCGGGCCCCAGTCTTTTAGATGCCAATGGTCCTCAAAATAATCTTAACGCACGATGGATGGCTTATAACCAAGCCAGAACGCACTTAGTGTAGGGTTCTGAAAGGGTTGTCACTTCTCAGTGAAATTGAACCTCTCGTCGACATTTTAGTTGCTCTCCCACAACGAGCTAGATTACAAAACAAAAAGAAAACTATCCTGATCCACAAGCATTCAAGCCACTTCGATAATTTGCAAATCGAGATGCAGTTGGAAATGGAAGAGCGACGACACGACGCACTGATGAAAGTATCGCATACCCTAACTTGGGTTCACTAAAAAAGGCCATGAGACAAGAGAAGAAGTTTTAGGACAACAGCTGACCAGGCCCGGGCGATAGTACGCATCAAAGACGCTAATGCAAGCAATACTGTTCATAAACAGGGAGGTGGGAGAGAATAGCTGAGTACGCTGAATATCGAACATTGTCAATGGAAGATAGAGAGCAGGCTCCATTCAACTTTCGAGAGGGAAATAACATGACACCAAGGAGAGTACGTCCAATGGATGCACTCTCCTTGGCAAGCTTACTTGTTTTGTCCCGTGGTAGAGCCTGCATGTCAGTGTAAGCGTGCGCCTGGGTGTAAATGTGCACCTGGATTTGACAGGAGGTAGACAGTTGACGGGAGCCTGGATGTCGACGTGCGCCTGGATGTACACAGTACAGAGATTAGGCACGTCGGATCGTACACCTGCTAGCGTTTTTAGCAGATACAAGGCATATAATATCTGCATCTACAGCCTCTTATTGCTGTAAGTAGCTGAACAAGGTTTAAGTATAGATGATACAGAGGGTAGGCACGTCGAGTCGTACACCTGCTAGTATCATGTACACTTTAACCTTTATAAGCTACTCGTACACTGTAGCAAATAAGAGGCTGTAAACGCACATATTATACAATACAAGTACCTTGTATCTGCTAAAAACATTAACAGGTGTACGACCCGACGTGCCCTACCTTCTGTATACACTGCGACCAGTACGTTCAAGCTTGGCTAACGCGCGGCAGACAAGCATGGTCATTATTGGCTCCTGGTGTTCCTCTAGCATTGAAATGTTCCCTCAAGATTTCTTTGCCGCTGCCCTTGATAACGACGTTTTCCATAGTGGTAGAAGTCGTTGCAGGTTGATCATGGCGCTGGGCCGAGAGATTGTAAAATCAAGTTGGTCACCGAAGAGCTCGTCTGCCAACCTCAGAAAGCATTTGCAGATGACCTATGGCCTGAGACTACTGTACAAAAAGCAATTGATCCTTCCGCAATCTACTGGGATCGGAAGCTGGTTTGTTGGAATCTTGCTAAGCTGAATGTGCGGGTACGCCGTACCCACGGATTTAGCTTAGCGCCGGAGGTCGATTCCGCCCCACGCCTGCTCTGTACTCTAGCCCGGGGCAACCTGAATCATGTTGGCATCAAGTTCGTTCTACCTGCATGGGACGACCATACCTGCGGGACGACAGACTTCTGCGATGCCATTTGTTATGTGGCAATTTCATTGGCCCTAACTGAATTATTCATATGTTGTCTTAGCCTGTCGAAAACTACATAGGTCATAGAACGGTCGGACGATACAAGGGAGGTTCCAATACAATCTCTGTTCTTATAGTTTGTCTGCGTCACAGTTGAACGGTGTACGCTAATTGTCTGGGGACTTTTGCTCACCTCCCCTAGGTTTCTTCATGGCAAAATTGATTCAGCATATGACGTGAAGATCCCATCGCTCGCGTCTAGGGTAACGGTCAGAGATTGCGGGAGGACACCCGACGCCATGCGAGGCAGCGCGAGGCTACCCATGTCTGTGGCGTGCTTATCATTTTGCTCAAAACTAAGGTAGCGGTCAGAACTTGCAGAAGCCCTCAAATTCCATCTGCAGCCATGCGAGGCAGCGCGAGGGTCCCCATGTCTCTGGGGAGAACTTGCAGAACCCACGCGAGGCAACGCGAGGGTCCCCATGTCCATGGCGTGTCAGATCCGACAGCATCTTTTCTGCTGTGCTGCACGTTTTCTGTCGTGCTGCACGACATCTGTCTTGCTGCACGATGTCTGTCTTGCTGCACGATGTCTGTCTTGCTGCACGATGTCTGTCTTGCTGCACGATGTCTGTCTTGCTGCACGATG